AAATATTATATCTAATTTCAATAATTTTTCTATTTTTGAAATTTTAACATTAATTATATTAATTTAGGGAGCGTTTGGTTCAGGCAGAAGAATGAAAATGGGTATGAAAATGAGAATGAATTTCCACTCCCTTCAGTTTAACCTGGAATTAAAATTTGGGCTTATGAAAAAATGAACCCATTATATTATAAAAAACCAAACGGTTTCTTTTATTTTCATTCTCATTAATTATTGCTTAATACCTCTTACCAACCACCCCCTCAATTGTATCCTCAACAAGATTCTGTTAGCAAAAGTAGGAGACTTTCAACATCTACAATTTGTTCATGTGAACTTATATTTATGAATAGTTTCATATCTGGAACCTGTATTGAAGATGAATGATGAAGTGGTATGATCATGTACTCATGTTAGATACTGAGAGGAAGTGATCGATCGATACAATTATAAGTTCAACGTCAACATCAGATGTTTTCGTTTCTGTGGGTTTTGTTTTTAACAGTGGGTTTCTTGAGACGAGTTTGTTTGGTGATGTAGGGGTGTCAATGGTTTTTAAACTGAGTATTTGTTCTTTTGGGTTGTTTTCTTGCATCGGTAATCCATCTGTCATTAAATTCACAATTAAGTATTGGTTTTGTGTATTGGTTTTGTGAATGTACCTTGACTTCAAATATGGAATAGGAGATTGGTCTCGTTTTTAAAATTTGAATCAAGTAGATCGTTTTTTTTTTATTAAATTGGATATTAAACCCGTTATGCAAGCTGACTAATCCCATGATGACCACCTGCTTTGCAGATAGCCCGAAGTCATCGCAATTAAACCTCCGTGGCCACAAGAGGATTTTTATTCCTCTTTGGATTTGAACCTGGAACCTCCAAGTACTTTTCATCTTTGAAGTCAAGCTCAAACCAATCAGACACCACCTTTGTGGTTAATAGAACGTTTCTTTCATACAGTAAGACATGAATATTTAGGATGCTTTGATAGAACATTTTTCCTAGAATTGTTTTATAAAAAATACTAATATAATAAATTATTATTTAAGTCCAGTTAGGTTGTTCAATTGCGTCATAAAAATTATTATTCAAAGAGACATAATTTGTTAGATTGCTCAATTAAAAAATCAAAGATAAAGCACATATAATAAATTTATGCATGTTTTTAGTCGATTTAATCATTACATATGTGTGTGCGTGTGCGTATGTATGCGTATGTGCGTGTGTGTGTGTATGTATAGAATGGTTCAAATGAGAACGCTAATTATTTAAGAAACAAGAAAAAATCGTTAATGTACAAATCACATGTGATTTTACATTATGATAAAAAAAATGGTACTGGATGACTTTTGCCATGACTTAAGTCGCGTGCAGAGTTGCCCCGAATCATGTATGATTTTATACGTGAATCATATATGATTTTATACATTAACGACATTTTTTCCCTGTTTTCTGAAATAGTTAGCGTTCTCGTTTGAACCTGTCCCTATATATATATATATAGTTATAAATATATAGTTTTTTAAAGACACCAATATATAAGTTTATCCATCATTTATAAAAGGAAAAAGAAACCATGTTATACTTTCATAGGAAAAAAATAAGTCGGATTAAATGTATTTTAGTAAAAAACTATTTGATTGTTTTATGAAGTTATAAAAATTAGAAATAAGATACGACGAAAGTACAAGTTTAGATGAATGTATCACTTGTTCCCAAGAATTAAACGGTAACGATATATCGCTTTTTTCAATGGTGAAGTTGTGCGATTCACTCGTTTTATTTTCGGTTTCAAATTAATAATTCATGTATCTTAACGTACATTTTTTTTACAGATCTTGAAAGACCAAAAACCAAGAGAAAACCACAATCATGATATCTGTACCACCATCTTTGTCTATTTTTGACGGGTTTTCAAGATCATGTAAATTATCACAGCATCGAATACTGCAGGTTATTAATTTTTTTCTTTTTGTTTTATTCTCCATATACCTTTATTCAAAGCAAATCACATATTGTTCGTGGGACCTCTTCTAACTTCCACCGAGAACTTCCACCTTGTTTTAGTATATCAGATAAATATTACTGATAAATAAAAGATTACACCTAGTGGTAGTACTACCACCTACGAACATATCCAATCAACTGGTTCTGGATACCAACCAAGAAACAAAACCTACTCAGCGAAATCACGTGTCTATTAATCACAAAGTTCTGTCTCTTTTTCAGTAGGTGATTCACTATCAAAGCTAAGAAAAGGCCGGATCAAGAAAAGGGGGTACTACGAGCCCTCTGCCCCACGCATCTAACCAGTTCGCGTGGTTCACCGGTTCCACCGATTAGACCCTTAGAGTGATTCAGTCGATACAGAGGTGCACTTAAAGTGGGGGTTTGTGCTGTCCCCATTGGGCTAAATATATTTGTGCATGGAAGGGCTGGCGGCCGCTCAACTGTTCGAGCGGAGCGGCAATCAAAATATTTTGAAAGGCGAAGAGTTAGGTACATATTATTCGAAAGGTATACTCAATAAATATCCGATATATATATTCACGTAATTAACGGAATAGAAAATTTTAAAATAATAGATTTTTATTCTCTAATATATATATATATATATATATATATATATATAATATTATTGCTTTATATAATTTCAACAAGTCATTTTAAATTCATAATATATACTTTCTAATAATTTTAACAAGTCTTTTTATATTATTTTTTTTAAAATCAAAAATCAATTTTTTCTTTTTAAAAAAATAGCATTAATCACAAGTCTTGACTTCCAAGTGATAATAATGGGAAAGGTGAAGTCTTCTAGAAGAATTCCTTAAATTCATACCAACATAAACTTAATGAATTGATGTTGGGCTTGGTTTATTTAAACGCTTATCAGGTAAGTGTTTAACGTTAGTAGTTAATATTATAATTTATTTTATTGGGTAATATTATAGTACATTAAAACGTATCATATGCAACAATTTATCTGGTAAGCGCTTACCCGGGTAAGAGTCATCACCCTCACTTACCGGATAAGACTCTCCATCTTTATAATCGCTCTTACCAGGTAAGATTCTTGGCCCTTGTCATGTTCATCCGGTGAAGAAAATTACCCAGTAAGTACTTACCAGATAAGCATTTAGTAAACGGCTTCTTAGTATTTCTTTAGATCTTTTTATTTTATATTTTATGTGATTTTATTAACAAGATCTATAATTAATTTGGCCTCATAAGTCATTCAGTTATACCAAACAAATGTATTTCTTGTAGAAATGTGTTATAATGAGTTTATAAAACTGTAAATTTTATCAACAAATCACATACTTTTACTTGCTAAAAACATTCTTCGTTTGGTCCTATAAAATATATAATCTTTTAATATCTAATGAAGAAAAAAGAATTAAAATATTATCATATAAAGGGTATTCAACGACTTGCACTTGAATGACGTGAGTTACATAAATCGAATGCGGTATCGTAGTCCTTGGCCTTCTAGGAGGTCAGGGGTTCAAACCTCACCATAGGTGAGGAGGGTGTGTGAATTTATTTGTTGCATTTGCCGTATATAAATATTATATATTTAAAAAAAAACTATAATGATCAAAAATATGAAACAAGAAATGTATGAAAAATATTTAATTATATTATCATAAACAATAAAAAAAATATTTTTTCAATATTAATTCTTTTATAAAAAAATATATTGTTTGATTAAATAAAAGAAACCAAAAAAGAGATTTAATAAACCAAAAAGGAAAAACATTAAAATTCCCCTACACTAAAAGAAGATTTTTTAACCATAAGGGTGATGCCTGATTGGTTTGAGCTTGACTCCAAAGATCAAAAGTATCTGGAGGTCCCAGGTTCAAATCCAAGGGGGAATAAAAATCCCCTTGTGGCCACGGAGGTTCAAATACGGTGATTCTGGTCTATCTGCAAAGCAGGTGGTCGTCATGGGATTAGTCGGCTATTATACCGGTTGAATATCCAGGTTAATAAAAGAAAGATTTTTAATAGATTTTATCTTGAAGACAAAAACAACAATAAATTACAAAACTATGGGAACGAAAACAACAACAAAGACGAAAATCGACAATTCAAAACCAAAGAGACGACATCATAATCTTTCACAAAACGAAAATCGTAGTTTACTCTTAACTTTTCGTTCTTACTTTCTCACGATATTTAACTTCCTTATTTGAACCAACTCCTACTATTATTAAGGATGGCTGCTTCTAGGCAAACCTCCTGGCTGTCTCTGCACCTCTCGGGTCAGAGCGTAAGCTAGTGATGCTTTCGGCTATTGGACTTTCGCCATCTAAGGTGCAACATTCTACTGCTTCGCCTTATGTATATATATTATCTCACAACCACTCCATATAAGCTTTCAGTCTTAAGGTATTAACAACTCTTGTCATAATTTAAGTTGATTTAAAAGTTGTTTAACGTGTTTTTTGCTGCATGCTTGAGGTGTCATAAATAACACATCGAGCTGTAGTGAATTAGGCTCAAGCATCTTTTTGTGACAACTCATTACATACTGATAGAGTGTGAGATGTTTGAACACCTATAAGCCTTAAGTTACAGATTACTGTTAACTTCCACCATTATTATCAGTTGATTTAAAAGTTATTGAACCAATTTACTGCTTTGTGCCTGAGATGTTACAGATTAGCACAAAATGAAGTTTTGGTGGTATATTGGTAATACAGTTAACCCTTTTTGTACAGTTCAAGTAAATATGATAGTGAACTCGGTTCTCATGGAATTCGTTAGCAAAATATCAGACACATGCTCGATAAATTTACCAAACACAATCAAAAGATAGGCTCAAAATTAGAAAATTTAGTTAGATTAACCCCTTAAAGATATCTGATTGATATTGTTAGGATCCAAGCGCTTACCACTACGCCAAAAGTAATTGCTGGTGGAGAAGGTGCAACTTATTTTTTTATAGCGTAGCAGCCAGCGCCACGTTTCGATTTAGGAAGATGCTGGTCAATGACCCAACAATCAAACCATTTAAATTACTCTAACGAAAATTCAATAATTCGAACAAACCTAACTAATCATTACACAACTTAAACATCGTGCAAACTATAGCAACCAATGGACTCATTAGAACATGTATCCTCGAGAAGACTTTGGAGGTCGAAGTCGAAGTCCCCATTATTACAGCAAAGTTGTTGCCAAAAGCCTTCAACGTCTTCAATTGTTCCAGGAGAACTCATATTATAACCAGTTTGAAACTCGACCCTAGATTCAAATCTAGAACTTGTATCAAAGATGTACGATGATGTGCTATGGTCATCTGACATACTCGAGAGGAAGTGATCAAGAGACTCCACTGAACTTTCGGTGTAATGATTTGATGTCACCAAATCTACGGGTTTTGTTTCTGGCAGTTGAACTTCAATCTCTTGTTTCTTGTGACGAACTTGTTTCTTGTGACAGACTTGTTTCTTGATACGGGTGTGCCAATGGTTTTTGATCTCATTGTCTGTTCTTCCAGGTAACTTTGTTGCTATCGCTGACCATCTATAATAAACATAATTTTGTAAAAAACTAGTTCGACGTTTGAATATCACGTTACGACAACTAATATAGAACAAAGAAATAAACGTTGTCGTTAAATTGTGAATATGGTTAGTTTTTATTCCATTTATGCAACAATTGGACATTGGCCGAAATGCATGAAAATGCAACATCATTTTATTCGGTTACTATTTTGAGAAACTATATTTGAACCACAAGAATGGTGCTTAATTGGTTTGAGCTTGGTTCCAAAGGTCAAAAGTGTCTGGAGGTCCCGGGTTCAAATCCAAGAAGGAACAAAAATTCTCTTGTGGCCACGGAGGTCCAAATGCGGTGACTCCGGGCTACCTGCAAAGCAGGTGGTTGCCCTGGGATTAGTCGGCTCGCATAGCGGGTTGGATATCCAGGTTAATAAATAAATAAAAACTATAAAACTCAGTGCTTATTGTTTACACTCTGACCCCGAAAATTACAAACTTAATGACATTTTGATAATTTTAGGAGAGAAATAACTAAGAGATGAAATAAACATCTGAAAATGACTATTTTAATTAATTTCCTTATTATAAATCAATAAGAAATCCAAAGGTAAAAATTGAGACTTTAGAAAAGTAATTAAATTTAAGTTAAAAAATTAATTTAAAAATAAAATTTAATTCATTACGAGTTACTGTTTCACTGCTTAACGAAGTTTTAGAATATCATAAATAAGATACAGCGAAAGTACGAGTTTAGTTGAATGCATTACTTGTTTCCAAGAATCGAATGGTAATGAAGTATCATTTTTTCCTCTTCCACCGTGAAGTTCCCTCGTTTGATGTTCGGCTTCAAATAATTCATCCATCTTAACCTGCAACTTTTCCCAGATCTCAAAAGACCTAAAACCAGTAAAAAAGTACAATCATATTAAATATGATACAGTCTTCTTCTACTTTTGACAGGTTTTTAAATCCTGCGATCAATATCGTTATACTGAACAGAGAGTTAGTAACTTACCAGCATATGGAGGCATCTTAGACCAGTTCCAGATACCATATTTCTGGATATAAGCTGTTAACTTTCGATCTTCTTCTACACTCCATGCACCTTTATTTAAACCTGACCGCATATCCCACTTCGAGACTTTCATAACTTACGTCAATAATAAACCGACGACGAAACTTTCGCACCTGTAAAGGTCGATTTCGGACTTCTTACCAATCAGTAAGTTGATAATATATAGAAAACTAGATTGGATTCAGAAATTATTGAAGAAATAGAAAGTAGTTTGGTTTATATAGTAGTAGTTGAATGAGCCTTTATGGTCTTTTTCTATGGTCAAGACTCGAGAGGAAACTTCCTGGTAAAGGGTTTCTCTTTGTTTTTGGTCTTTTTTGCATGATTAACACTTCTTTTTGAATTTCTAATCCAAATTTTAACCAATACATATATATATATATATAGATATATATATATATATGACCGATCAAATGCAAATCATCTAATTTGTATAAACCGTGTAAATCATCTTAATTCGTCGATTTTATTGTTTAATCTTATGAAATTTTTTTCATGAATTTGTTATATATAACACTTTTTTTGATTAAGTTATTTCATATATGGTTATGAAATTGTTTCATATGATACTTAATCATGAAATTGTTTCATACAATACTTGATGAAATTTTAATGAAATTTCATCTATTTTTTTAAAATTAAAGTAATGAAGATGATAATATCCAATGAATAACACCCTCCACAATAAAAATGATTAATCAACATCTCATAATTACAAAAAAATGAATAAAATGAAAAATTATGATTGGTTGAATGATGTTTGTACGGTTTGTACAAATAATATGGTTTGCAAAGTAAACCTCATCTACACACACACACACACACACACACATATATATATATATATATAGAGAGAGAGAGAGAGAGAGAGGAGCGATCAAATGAAAACCACTCCAATTTGTAAAAACCGTAAAAACTACTCTCATATGTCGTAATCTTATGAAATTTTTTCATGAAATTGTTTAATCTTGTGAAATTGTTTCATATAATACTCTTTTTGATGAAGTTGTTTTATATATGATTATGAAATTGTTTCATATACTAATTAATGAAATTGTAATGAAATTGTTTCATGTATTTCTCTAAAATTAAAATAATGAAGATGATAATATCCATGATTAACATCCTCCACAATAAAAATGATTAATCAACCTCTTATAATTACAAAAAAAAGGAACAAAAAGAAAAATTATGATTGGTGGAATGAAGTTTTTACAAATTAAGTGGTTTTAATTTTATCATTCCCCTGTATAGATACATATATATATATATACATATATTAGTATTGATTAAAAACGTATACTATTTATATGACAATTGATCTTGTATTGACAAAAATCGAGATTTGTAACCTTAAAGTGTCTCTAACAGATTCTTTAAAGTTCTCCAAAATAAAGAATCAAAATTCAAAATCTTTAAAAAAAAATAGCAATCAGTTCCAATGATTTTATATTTTACAGATAAAAACATTGATTATATTATTAAAATATTCTATAAATATGATAAAATATTGAGTTAAATGCAAGTTTGGTCCCTATGCTTTACATTAATTAACGGGTAAGGTACTTGAAAAGAATTTTTAACTAAGAGCATCCCTATGGTTTTATTTTTTTAACGGATGTGGAGCCTCCAAATAACACCGTCAATTAGAGTGACGTTAGTGAGGGGTAGTTTAGTCAATTAACCTTTCCTCTCCATCAACTTTCATTTTAAAAACAGATCTGGTCCCTTCCTATACTTTCAATTTTCTAACATATTTGGTCCCTCGTTTTAATTAATATACACAAAAAATTATTGTAATTAAATAGATATAAAAAAATAAAAATTAACTAATTTACTTCAACTACTTAATATACACTAAGGGGCCGTTTACCAAACACTTATCCGGTAAGTGCTTATCGGTAAAATTTTACACTATCGTTTCCTTACCGGGTAAGATTTTAGTTCACCAAAATGACATCGTACGCAACAATTTACTTGGTAAGCGCTTACCATGGTAAGAGTCGTCGCCCTTACTTACCGGATAAGACTTTTGGTCCTTGTCTCGCTCTTACCGGGTAAGATTCTTGGTTCTTATCATATTTATTTGGTAAGATAATGTGACTTGGTAAGCGCTTACCTGGGTAAGCGTTTGGTAAACGGCCCCTAAAACTGATTATAGTTGAGAGATAAATTAATAAATTGTAAACCACAAGGACCCTGCTTTAAAAAATATTTTTTTTTCTAAATATTTAATCCCAAAGTCTTCTACGGGTTGAAATATAAGTATAAAATATTAATTTTCCGACGTAATCATTCCTAAAAAGTTCTTTAAATTTGAAAATTTTCACACTGACTCTCATACTTTCTCCATTTTAGAGAAAAAGTTGTGTAAAACCTGTTCGAACATGAACTTGTCCAGAATCCTTATTATCTCATTCTTTCCATATAAAAAAAATCTGTTGAAGATGTTTGTTTATAAATTTACAGCTTTTTATAGACATGGCAACAGGGATGGGATGGGATGGGTTTTGTAATCCCCGACTTCGGTTTTTAGTAACAGCCCCCGGCCTCGGTCCTCGATGGGTACTGGAATTAACATCCCGTCCCTGGTTTATTTTTTGGTCAAAGCCCGATCCTCGTAACCGGTCAAGACCTAATTTTAGAAAATAAATAATATATATACACATATTATATAAAATATATTAATAAAATTGTGTAACGGGTATGGGGCAAGTCAGGAGGCTACAATACCCGACCTCGACCCCAACCCCGGTTTGAGTCTATTGATGATCCTCGGCCCCGAGACCCGTTTTAGCGGGAATCCTTGTCCCCGTCGGATCGAATGAGTCGGGTTCTCTATTGGGTTGAGGTAAATCATCATCCTTAGTTTTTTTACGGTTAGTATGGTAAAGATTTGTTCATAGGTTAATACTTTTATTTATTTATTTTCTTGCTTTAATTTATATTTATTAAAATTGTAATTGGTGTATACTAAGGGGACGTTTACTAAACACTTACTTGGTAAGTGCTTACCGGATAAATTTCCTCATCGGATGAACATGAGAAGGACCAAGAATCTTACCGGGTAAGAGCGATGAGAATGATGGAGAGTCTTATCCGGTAAGTGAAGATGACGACTCTTACCCAGGTAAGCGCCTACCCAGTAAATTGTTGCATTCGATATGTTTTGATATACTAAAATCTTACGCACCAAAATAAATCATAGTGTTGACTCCTACCGATAAACGTTTACCGGGTAAGCAATTGGGTATACGGCCCCTAAGTCTTGTTTTAGTCATAATAGTTTTTATTGTAATTTTAAAAATAATTAGTGGTTTATATCATAATTAAAAATAAAAATTAAATATTTTAATAATATAAATTTCTACGAATTCTACATTAAACAATGACGAGAAGGAGAAGTCTTCTAAAAGAATTCTTGTAGTCCAAATCAACTTCAATTTTTTAGGAAGTGAAATTTTTAAATGTGAATTTAATATTATTTATATGTTTAAGGTTCGTCATTCATAAAAAAATCGTTTTTTTTCAATTTTAATTAAAATAAATAAATTTTACTATTTAATACATAAAAAAGTAAATTTTATACTTAACATGTAAAAAGAGAGATGATCGATCAAATACAAACCAATCAAATTTGTACAAACTATGCAAACCACATTTATCCGCCGATTTTATTGTTTAATCTTATGAATTTTTTTTCATGAAATTGTTTAATCTTGTGAAATTGTTTCATATAATACTTTTTTGACGAAATTGTTTCGTATATGGTTATGAAATTGTTTCATATAATACTTAATGAAATTTTAATGAATTTGTTTCATGTATTTCTCTAAAATTAAAATAATGAAGATGATAATATCCATGATTAACACCCTCCACAATAAAAATGATTAATCAACCTCTCATAATTACAAAAAAATAAACAAAAAGAAAAATTATGATTGGTTGAATGAGGTTTGCACGGTTTGTACAAATTGAGTGTTTTACATTTGATCGCTCATATATATATATATATATATATATATATATAAAAGAATGGAACTCGCACAATGCAGCAAGATATATCTCCGATTTTAATGTTTCATTTTTTTGTGTCTCGGTCGATGTTATAATAAATTGAAAAAAAATATTGATATTAGTACCAAAATGACTTTAAAATTTATTTCTTCTTTTTTGTGTATATCTTTGATTCATTTTTTTAGTTTAATAGTATAATTTTTTTATAAAGATAATAATTAAGTATTTTGTTAGAACTCAATGATTATCCTGATTATATTTTAAATTTTTTATATTTGGAATGAGATGTTTATCCTCTATTTGATTATGTTTATCTACAGTTAGTTAACACAAATTCAAACATTAAACTTTAATAAGTTGTATTTACGTAAAATTTACTTGTAATTTTGATTTTTAAGTAATATGTATCAATAAACAGTACTTCATGCACAAAAAATTATTTTAAGAGTTTTTATTAAATACTTTATAATATAATATATATAAGCAAATAATAATTCAATATATATGAAAGAAAAAAATATTAATTTTATAAATAAAAAGGTGTAAAGTAAAGTCATCACATAAAAGTTGTATAAGTCATTTAAATAATATAATATATATTTCTTAAGCTTTAAGTTAATTTGTACCAATTTTAATGTTGTTTTAAAAGTATTTGTTTTTTATATGACTATAAGAGATTATTTGACAATTGTTGAATGGTTTGATGTAGTATGATTAAGGGGCCGTTTGACAGTTGCTGAATGATTTAGTGCAAGATGATTAAGTGGTCAGGATGATTAAGAGACTCTGTATGATTTAGTGTCAGGTAGAAAAAGGTTGTTTGGAAATTGTTCTGAATGAACAGTCTGAATAACATAAAATTACCAATTTACCCCCAGTCTTGTGTTTAATGAAAATTAACGTTTGACAACAGTTCTGAAGGAAATTTATAAATGAAAAATAGAAAATAATTAATAGTCCAAGCCAATACATAATATTATATCAATCCAAACAAGCATGACAATGTTTGTTCAAGTCTTGGCATAACAAAACATCACATGAAACACAACTTCAAACCCAATATTTTGATTACAATATCTAATTTGAAGCATTTAACACCAGTTGATTTGCAATCTCATTACGCAAATTAGTCATGTACTCACTGTCTTGGGGACCCCAAGGTGTTGCATT